ATATTAAATTTAATTTAAAATGATATTTAATATACAATTTAGAGATATACTACATTATTATAGGCTCAAACTTTTATTTCTAAAAATTTTATTCAAAAAATAAACATATATATTTTATTCTTCAGAATAAAAAGAATTGTAATAACTTATTTCATTTTACATTGATAAGATTTTAAGTAAAATAAACTGTAATATCTATTCAGAATAAGATTTTAAGAATGAATAAAGTAATAATTAAAAGACCAGAAATTAAAAAGAGAGAAATAGAGAATTAGCTCTATAAGCATTAATTTAAATTTAAAAGATATTTTCTTTTACAAAGTATTATTTCAAATCTATAAATATCTTTCAAAGATATTCTTGATGTTCTTTTATTTGTAAATATTTAAGACATTTAATGATTTCCACTTTTTATGATTCACCACTTTTACATCCAGTAATTTTGATTTTAATGCCATTCATACCTCACTATTTTGTTTACTGTCAACTTTGTCTATATCAAAATTTCAGTGTATTAAATGTAAATGATATAAATGTTTGTAAAGAAATGAAAACACAAAACAAATATTTAAATTAGAATGCATATAATTTTCCATATATGCATATATGGAAAACTGTTAAATTTAGATAATTTTGCAAGTTACTTTATGTATGTACTGTACATTATATAAACATCTCAGATACAGAGTAGGATATAATTATGTCTCCTATTTTAAAATAATTATGTTGAAATACGTAGACATTAAATTACATGAAATTACAAAATATATCCAGTGAAGGATTTCAAACATTACCCCATTCCAAACAAGATTCCATGACATTTTATGCCAAGAGACTGGGTCTGTCAATCAGAAGCAAGGAGAGGAAGATCAACAACAATGACTACAGAAATAAGTTTTGTGCATTTTAAAGAATGTTTCTTGAATATCACTCAGAAATCCACACAATATGGGAGTTTGAGATTTCTTGCAGTTTACTTCATCAAATTTTGCAGAATGTAGTGAACTTTAAAGCATACTATATTTCCAATGTTGCATGAACTAAAGCCAGTAAATTATGGATGATAAGTAAGCACTGTAAAGTTTCTTTTATGGATGTTGAAAAATAAACTAAATTTGTAAAGGAATTTTTATTGATCAGATGGAGTAACCTTCCATTCGTCTGGACAGATGAATCAATGTTGCCATGTATGAGATCAAAGCCAATCTTTTTCAAAGAGAGAGAGAATGAGAGAAAACATTAACAAAATTTGCCAAAAGTTAATNCCAGGGGTGCACAACCTGCGGCCCGCGGGCCACATACGGCCCCCTATCAATGTTTATGCGGCCCGCGGACGGTACAGGCCAAATCCCTTCTTTCGAAGTTTCTACGTGTAGAACTTTTTCCCTATCACAAAGTCATTAGCACCCAACTGTTTTATGACTTTCCCTGAGGTGAGAAATGGGGGAGTTGTTCTATAAATAAGTCTATTTCTAGCTAACAATTTCTGGTTTAGATATCGAATATTTTAAGTTTAATACATAGTAAACTAAAATTTTAGTAATTGTTTAGAATTTCAATTATTTTGACATCTTATGTTATTTTCTAAAGTTTAATATTTGTTTTTTAAAACAGTGTTATGTAAGATTTTATTTCCTGTACAGAAAGAAGTTTAAAATTTGGAAAGGAATAGTTTCAAATTATAACAATAACAACTCTCCTTTTCATTAACAAGTTTTCTTAACATGTTATACATTGTCTTCATATGATTTTATATTGTTCTTAAAATAATTTAAGTTTAAAATTTTTATGGGCAACTTTAGAATAAATCTAAAGTAAATTAATATTTCAGGTGGGCTGAACAAGAATGTATTCGTCAGAATCTTTTAATAAATCCAGACAATGAAAGAATGACATTAGGACGTGCTTTGTCTCTCATTCGATTTCCTTTAATGACTGTAGAAGAATTTGCTGGTGGTGCTGCTCAATCTGGCATATTAACTGATAGGGAAGTGGTTTCGCTGTTTCTCTATTTCACTGTTAATCCAAAGCCAGCTGTCAGCTTCCCAGATGTGCCCAGGTGCTGCATTACAGGAAAAGAGCAAACTGTGTGTCGTTTCCAACAGACTGAGAGTCGATGGGGATATAGTGGAACCAGTGATAGGATAAGGTAAATTTAAATTTAATGAATTATAATATTTAGATAAATCATTTTTAACAGATTAACAATTACATTTTAATTACATAGTAAAAAATGATAATGATGAATATTTAAGGTTTATGGCAGATCGGAGAATTTTTGTGGTAGGATTTGGCCTTTATGGATCAATACATGGGCCTTCTGACTATGATGTTAATATTCAGGTTTGTATATTATTATACTAAGTAAATTTTATAATAATCTTTACCCTCAAAGTTAAAAACTGAAAGCTGAAAAAATAATGGAGCCTATTTATAAACTTTATCAATAGTCTACTCAAATTATCAGTAATTTGAGTAGGGTACATTAATCTCCTCAGTTTGTTGTGTTTTATTATTATTACTTATACAGTAGAGCATTGTTTATCTGAATCAATTGGGGACTAGGGTTGTTCAGATAACTTATTGTGTACGAAAAAATATATTAACCTATCCCATGTTGAAATTTTTCTCTGTTGCATGTCATTTCACATTGAATTTTTGTTAATGCTAAGCCTAACAAAAATTTTTATAATAATAATCGTGGCTANTTTTTGCTTATTTAGTGTCTTCGCTAACTTTTGTTTTGACAGCTTTCATTTCTATCATTTTCAGACAAAAATATTTGAGCATCAAATTACGAAAGTCAAATGACTAAAATCAAACACAAATAGAATTTTTCAATTTAAATACAAATGAAATAGAATCAAAATAGAACACTTAGATACAAATACATTATAACTTAAAATCATCAAAAACATTTTTTTTAAATTTAAATTAAGTATGCATTTATATAGCATACAGTAGCTGCTACCCAAGACATACCAGAAAATGTACTTGCCTTGCTAACCCTGATACTTCAATACAGTAAACCACACCAAAGTATAATAATGAAAACTAAAAACAGAAAAACATTTTGCTAATTTTAGATAATTGCCCTGCTCATTATAATCTACAACTTTCAAACACCGAGTTTTTTTCAAAAAGCACATCAATTGCACAACGTTTGGACATGGATATCATTTGTAATTTTAATTATTATTATTGTAAATAACTTGTAGAAAACACTGGCTAGCATTAAAAATAGCACAAAGACAGATATCAACATTTGTGTTGTCATTAAATACATTGTCAATCAAATCAGTCAAACCTGAAACTATTCAAATTTATATTTCTTACTAGACTATACATATACATGAGTCCATATCTTCTATCCCTTCACATGCTTATTGTAGAGGCATTAACAAGTCTACGGCGGAACCGTCCTTTTATTTGAGGCTACAGTCCCCCAATAAATGTAAAAAAGTTAAAAATTCCTCTAGCAATAGCACACACAATTCATAAAAATTGGCGGACAGTAGCCTCAAATAAAAATAAGGACGGTTCCGCCATAGACTTGTTAATGCCTCTAATATAAGCATATGAAGGGATAGAAGATATGGACTCATGTATATGTAGAGTCTAGTAAGAAATATAAATATGAATTCGTTCCGACAATTTTTAATGTAACTGAAACTATTCAAAATTATTTTATAAAGTTTGATCCCACAGAAACTAAAGAAATTCAAGTTAATGATAACACTTAAACAGAAACTGCTACAGTATTTTTCAGAATGACTGCCATGCCAGTCTACCCAAGGGAGACCATAAAATCAGATATTTTCATATGATAAAAACTGGAATGCTGATTTAAATGAGGTTATATATCCCTCTGTAGAGGGTGCATTAAAAAAAAAAACAAAAACAAATGCATTGTCACATAAAACGAATGAGGCTTTATTCTAAAACTATAAAACTCAGCATTACATCAAAAACTACAATTATATTTAATCTGCATCAATGTCCTAATTTAATCAAATTGTTCTTTCAAACACCATAACCGTGTATTTCTATTAATAGGACTTATTATACTGGTGTGTAGAATTATAGCAACACAGTCACACAGATTAAAATTGGTAAATTGGTAATCATAAATAAACCAATTTTAATCTGTGTGACTGTGTTGCTATAATTCTACACACCAGTATAATAAGTCCTATTAATAGAAATACACGGTTATGGTGTTTGAAAGAACAACTACAATTATATGTTTAATTTCTTCATTTTATCTTCTTTCTAACAATGTAAAATACTTTTGGAATACTGAAAGTGCTTTTTTTTTGTGTATTTTAATTGTTATTTGATTTAATAATGCAAAAATAAACATATTAAATTTAAGAAACTTGCTGTAAATTATCTCAGCTTACATCAATTAACATCTGCTTTGTGTGAAATTTGAGGAAGGTGTTATTTTTAAGGTTGGGATAGATGGTCCAACTTATTAAACAATTAACGACTTATTGACATTGACTCATTGTCAATAAATCATTAATTGTTTTATTGTCTTGTAAAGGAAAATTCTCTTCCTGATTTTAAGGGTCATTTTACAATGTTATTATTTTATTGTACTGGAAAGAATGTTTTATTTAACGTTTAACAACTAGTTTTGTTAGATCTGATTAATTTTATATTTTAGTCACAGTTTGATGGCATGTCAATAACCCCGGGGTTTCTGGCATGCTGGTCTCCCCTGTTTTTATGCAACATGCTGGTCATTCCACAAACATACAGTAATTTGTTCCATATGCTAATAAACAATGTCACTGATATTCACTGTTCATATGAAAACTTTCTTAATGTAGATGATTTTATGACAAATTGCTCTGAATGAACAGCTGAAATATAAAAAAATCTGAAGATAGCACTGATTCTGACCAAACCAATAAAAGCTTATTAAGTGCTATTAACTTTTTTGACACTAAAAATATGATAATTTGTACAGTGTATAAAAAGAAATTCTTAAAATATTACACAAAAACCAAACACAATCACATATAACTAATTTCTTTCAATAAAACTTAATTGTCAATTTATACATAAGCAAAACCTTTTTAGAATGATCTCTCATTATAAGAAACTATTCATCTGTCAGAAAAGGTTCTCACAAGGACTCACTATATTTTTATATCAGTTAATTAATAATATTTACAAAATATATTAGTAAAGTAGACAAATTTACACATTACAGGTATAAAAAATTTCTTTTAAATTTTGATATGAACAACTATGATAAAACTGTGATATGATTGATCTTCTTTATGTAATATGAATTGCATAAGAATAGTATATATAATTATTTAAGAAAAACATGTAAATATATATCGATGAAATCCAAATTATTTTAAGCTCATGATCTCAAGTTCATATAGAATACGCTTAAATGATTTTATTTATCTATTTTGAATTATATCATTTATAAGTAAATAGCAATAATTATTTTAATATAGTTATTTTACATAGATTTTCAAATAATTTTTCTCTTGTAAAACTGGAAAGGAATATTAATTCCAATGAAATACAGTATATTTTGGATATTGTTAATATTGCAATTCTTGAATTACTATGAATTAAATATATATTTACTACAAAGAATATACTATTAAAGGGAAGATATCAAGTAATAGTAATTATTTGGATTCTCAGGATTTTTCTTAAAATTCAAACACAAGTCTTATATTTGAACAACCAAGTGTAAATTACTGGAATATTTGTAATATAGAATGATATAATTTATGATTTAGGGATAATTATATCTTTATTTTTTATTGGAATGTTTCATTTATAGTATTCTGCTTATAATGTAATCAATAATATATTCAAATCAACAAATTTCATTAAATTGTTTCATAATATTATATCTGTTATATAATTAGATATATAAATTACACCTATTTATATAATTAAGAGAAATTTATACAGTAATACCCCAACTTACGCGATAGGTGGGACCGAGCAGTAACTGCGTAAGTCGAATTTGCGTAACTCGGGGTATAATTTCGCATATAAATACATACAAATAATTTTTAATTGGGGCCGGAGACTAAAGAAAACAATAATTTAGAAAAAAATGTTTAATAAAATCTTAGATAATACATATGTATAACAAATTAGGCCTATATTATTTTACAATTTTTCACATTTACTTGATTATTACGCCATAATTTTAACATTGTTTCCATCTCAGCGATAATACTGTGACGTTTACGAATGATGCTTGAATTTAAAGATTGAGCATTTTTCACAGCTTCGAGAATTTTTTCTTTGCCTTTTATAATTGTTCTGACCGACAATTCCGGTAGATCAAACTTCTTTGCCAATTCACAAATTTTCATTTTTGTATCGAAGTCTTTAATAATGGGTACGTTCGTAAAGTCAAACGAGTTAAACGCGTTAGTAACGAATCGTTCGAAAAGTCTAACGAAATAGGAATAACGATGACTTCATTCTCGTTTAACTCGTTCGACTTTACGAACATACCCAATGTTAACTTTACATTCCAAAGATAGTTTTTTTTTTTTTGTTCGATGCAGCGCGACACATCCGAAGATGTAAGCTGAACAATAGTGTGGGGGGGAGTGAGTAATCAAGGGTTGCGTGGCACTCAAACAAAAGATGAATCGACGAGATTTGAAAATCGCGTAACTCCGGGTTTGCGTAAGTCGAGGTATTACTGTAGTTAAATTTTATTCTATAAAAAATCATTGAATTATACAATTAAATAAATCTTACTTACCCATGGTTAATTTTATAAGCAAGTTTAAAATAAAACAGAAATGTTCCAATGCAATATAAACATTCTAGTACATCTGGAACTGGACATTGTGACTTGCAGTTTAATAACACTTTTAAAATGTTATAAATATCCCATATAGTTTTAGAAGTAATAATTAAGGCAGTCACAACACACCATGGATTTAGTTCCTTCAAAAAGTTTTAAAATTTTATTAGTAGCTACAACTATTGAAAGATAAAATAAAAATTATATCTTATTTTTTAAGCTATTTTGTACCTTATTATTATTAAAACATTCAGGAACTCTTTCCATTAACAAATCTTCAGCCCAATTATATTTTTCATGTTGCTTTAAATTATTTAACATATCTGATGAAGGAATATGATTAAAAGTTTTCATATACCTGCAAAAAAAAAAATACAAATTAATAATAGTAATATAAATCTGACAAACTAACCATTAATCTATATTTAATATGTAGTTATTTATATTTTCAAAATTAATAGTAGAACAAAATCTTTGTGTTCAATTCAAATTCATTGAAAGATATTAAGAATTTGAATAAACCACTGCTATCATAAAAAGGATTCACAGGACTTTTAATAATGATTTGGTTTTGAATTACCTTATTATAGAATTCAATAAATTGTATATTTATAGTCAATCTAACAAAAGATAAACTTTTCAAAATTGTTTTTGATTAGTGGTTGGTCAATCTTGTGGATGATTAAGATTCATGAATAGATAATTGTAATGTTAATACACTTTTTTTTTACTCTTTCTGACCAGTGGATACTAAGAGGACCTTTTAATCACACCCATTATGGGTTTGGGAAGGCCCACAATGGGAGGCCAGGTAGTGAGAGACAGAGCCAGACATATCAGGACATGGTCTGTCCTGATATGTCTGACTCTGTCTCTCACTACCTGGCCTCCCATTGAAAAATTTCTGATTTTTCAACTTTCTAGATTTGATTCTAGGTTTCCCAGATTGATAGGGTAATGCCTTAACCACCTTGGCCATCCAGACAGTGTAATGCATTAAAATGTCCAAGCAGACATTTTAATGCATTACAAGTGTCCAGTGGACACTACAGCATGAGTGTTTGATCTTGCCTAAATTTTTTCATCCTGGAAAAATAGTTTTGGTTTTGATTTTCATATACAGCATGAAGTCAAATGTAGTAATGGGCTTGAAAAAAAAACATGACAGAATAGTGACATATTTATCAATGAGATATATCCATTTTGTACCACTGATAATAGAAAAGAGAATAATCAGATTCCAGGCATTATAGTTTCTTACAAAATGGCAAAATATTATATCAGATTTCAGATTTGCAATGGTAAGTATTGAAAATTAATTGCTTTAGTAAAATAGAGTACATTAGAAAACTATTTGACTATTATATATAAATAATATTTAAGATTTATATTTACCATAATTAAAAAAAATATGTAAAACTTTTCCCCTAGCTTTTAAATTAATTTTTGGTTTTTTAGCTTTTTGTTTAAAATTCTATAAAATTGACATTTTTTTTTATTTTAAATGATGAAAGTTTCCTCAAGAAAAAATTTATACTTATTGACTTGAAAATGAACATTATCAGTTCTATTATCCTCTAGTTTCAGTTATCATTTCAGAGTTCACAATCCAATTCTTGCTCAATATCTAATAAAAATGTAACTTTCCAAATGAGGGCTATGTAATCTTTCATTTCAATCATATTTACGAGATTTAACAAGCAAGTTCCAATGGGACCATGAGACAAAAAAAGGTGAAAAATATTGATATAGATCAGGGGTTCTCAACCTTCCTGAAGTTTTGGAATACTATTCATAAACGTAGGCTGTTTTTTTCAAGCTCCAATGGTCCGTAAAACGAAGACAAGTGTAAATAACAAAATGAATTTATTACCAAAAGTTAGGTAAAAGCATGGTTACTTTTTGACATAATCACTGTGAAGATTGAGGCATTTGTCATATCTGTGGATGAACTTTTCATGGTGTAAAGAACCAAGTCCGAGCGTTATTTTTATTTACTTTTATTTTGCTTTTATTATATTTTTGTTTGGGGCTTATGTTTAGTTAGGACGAAGGTTTCCTCACCCGTCACCTTAGAAAAGTAAAAAGAGAAGATAAAACCAACTCACTGACGAAAAAACAAAGCACCATAGCTAACACTCGCACTCACGTGCACGCCCGAGCGGCAGATAGTAAGTCCGCACTGAAGGGGGTAAAGACCCCACAAACGTAGGAACTTGTTAAACCTTAAAAAGAAGGAAACATCCCGATAATTGTTAAACAAAATACTGTAAAAGGTTAACAAAGTATTGTCAGGAATTAAGCTACCAGATAAGCAAGAGAAAAGTTAATGTTACATGTAAGTATGTAAATGAGGGGAGTGTCTCACTTAGAAACTGTGACGTCACCTCAGACTATAAAAAGCGTAGCTCAAGTGAAGACAGCAGAGGTGAGCTCCTGCAAAGAACAAGCATTGGTGTGCTTAGTAGCAGTGAACGAGAGGTGTCCAATAGGAAAATAGTCCAAGGCGATTGCAGTATTTGATTTGTGGATTGAGGATATTTGTCTATCCTCAATCCACAAATAAGGGGGTTGAGTCTTGAGTCTTGAGTTAAAGTCTTGAGTTGAGAAAAAGGTTCATAGTATAATTGAGGTGACGGTTAGGATTTGTAGTTATAAGAAATTTTGAATCTAAGTTAAGGATTGATTTTGTCGGAATTCCAAGGGGAATAGTTCTAAGTTAGAATTAGATTGAGTTTTGTCGGGTTGACTGTGATTGATTTTACTTGAATAAATTTGTTGATTTGTTGTAAATATTGTACATAGTTACTTCTAGAACGTTTATTAAACATTTTTATTTGTTTTTTACTACTTATTTACTCCGGTCCTTAATTTACTCCGGTGCACGCGAAAAGTCCAGGCCTGGCAACAATAAACGCAAACCCGCGTAAAGTACCCGTTAGGTAACGGCTCTTTCCGGTACAAGAATCGTTGTAGAGCGGTCAGATAAAATATAGTACTTTACAATCCTCTTGTCATAGAATGTTGCCGCCAATGACTTGAAATGGGCCCTAATGTTTTTTGAAGATCATCATTAGTCTTGAACCTCTGCCCTCCTAGCCACTTTTCCTATTCAGGAAAGAGGTGGAAGTTGCTCGGCACTAAATCAGGGTTATATGCTGGGTGTTTAAAGGTGGTGAAGACTTCCACCTTACAGACTTCCATCCAGCTTAAAACTTTTTAATGTGTGAAGACTTCCACCTCTTTCCTGAACTGAAAACATGGCTAGCAGGACAGAGGTTTGAGACTAATGACGATCTTCAAAACAATGTTGTTAAGGCCATCTCAATTAACTGGCGGCAACATTCTATGACAAGAGATGGAAAAGCTTGTCCACAGATATGACAAATTCCTCAATCTTCATGGTGATTATGTCGAAAAGTAACCATATTTGTACCTAACTTTCGGTAATAAATCCATTTTGTTATTTATACTTGTCTTTGTTTTATAAACCATCGGAGCTTGAAAAAACCATCCTCGTACTTTTTATTACATGAAACATTAGCATCAATATATTCAAAAATTTATAAGCAATTCCATGTTTACCATTCTCAGGAAGCAATTAAGCAATAAACTAATAAACTTTAATGTATTGAATAAAATAGAATCATGGAATTGTCATTATGTTGTAGTATATTAGAAAAAAATTTTGATAAAAACTTTAAAATCTTTTTTCATGGAACACTCAAAGCACATTTGCAGAACACTGGTGTAAATTTCTGAGTTATTCTGATAATGTAAATTTCTCTCTCTTGGAATACTCCTGATGTATTCTTTCAAGTTCTTATTGTGTTTTGATAGCTAAAATTTGTCTAATGTTCAAGTCTACAGAAGTTTTAACTATTGAAAATATTCAAGTGATAAAATGCCTTTGTTAGTAAACATTAGTTTTGGAATCAGTAAGTGCTTATACTATATATAAATTAATTCATGTCATGTTTTAAAAATATAAAAAGTTTCACAAAAGTTCAAAAATACATAAATATTTCAACAAATTTGAGATTTAGCACAGTAATATTTTTATCATATAATCTTTTGTTTCCATCATATTTAACAGAATAAGCTAACTACTTTTAATGAATATTAATAAAAAAGTTGATTCAAACTATTTAAACTCAGTGCATACAACAAAATTCTCTATGTGAAAACATCACTATAACAAGTTAAATAGTTATTAACTAGTAGCCCGGGACGCCCCCTAGTGGGCGTTATTTACAAATTTTCATGAGGCACGGTTCCTTTGACTTTTTTGTTCCTATCAGTATGCTCTACAGTTCCGTTAAAGTCCCAATGGTAAGATTTACCCTCTGAATGAAGGGGTGGCAACCCTCCAAAATGTAGCCCCTCTGTGCGAACAATAAAGTCAAAGGAACCATACCTCTACTCCCGACCCTTCACGAGATATAAGCCCGTGAAAATTTGCCTACGTCATTTCCGGTCACGTGACATCGTGGTCAAAAGGGAGCCTACTGCGCGAAAAAAAATTAACGCGCGCTCGCCCACACTCGGGGGGGTCGCCGACCCACTCATTCGCAGGGTAAATCTGGCAAACAGGCGGTCATGTGACCCGTAGAATAATATTCGGAGGGCTATATCTCGGGAAGGGTTGCACGTACAGGGATGGTTCATTAGACATTTATTGTTCGCACAGAGAGATTCCCTTTATTAGAGGGTAAATCTTACCGTCCCAATCGCGTTATACGGATCTATATTTGTATCTATTAAACATTCTATAAATACTTTATAATAGTTTAATTTGTTTATTTACCTTCGCTTGTAAACCTTGATTTTACCTTATATTACCTTAATTAATTAATTAACTATTTCAAACTTTATCGTCTTACGTAGTGATTCAAACCTATCCGGTTTTTCATTACTCGTCCCCTAGTTAACATTACATGCATTCCGTGACAATAATAAATTCCTATTACAAATATAATGAATTATTTATATTGTTATATTGACCAAATAATAATTTATTGGCCAAATGAATAATAATAATTTATATTGTTCATTTAAATAATAATTAAAATTGTTAATTTAATTTGAATGTTTTAAATATGACACACGATAGGGGCGCCTCTAGTGTCCGTTATCAAACGGTTACGGGACAGACGGACAGTTGAATGGGTTATATATATAGATAAACTTTTAATGTGCAGTTTTTAACACTTAACGATTAACTTCAAAGTTGTGCATAAATTACGTAACGCAGATATGAGTGAGTGGGTATGCTGTGATCGTCGATTAGGGATTGCATTGCCGATAAACGGTTTACTGCTTCACCGGCAATCAGATAAAAAACCCTGTNGAAATATGACACACGATAGGGGCGCCTCTAGTGTCCGTTATGAAACGGTTACAGGACGGACACGAAATGAATGGGTTATATATATAGATTAATCCATACAAAAGTTGAATGAACTTGGCACCATTTTAATAACAATAATTTTACAGCTTAGTTTGGAAAACCAAAATTATTTTTGTGAATATTTGGGTTCCTCGCCACAAGTCTAAAACTAAAAAAAAAAAATTTGATTTCTTGAACTAAGCAGTAAAATTGTCATTATGGTAATTATTAATTATATTTCTAATAATAACCAACTTATTTAATTATTCATTAAGGCAAAATTTTAAAGAAAGCCATAAAATATTATTTTTGTTTTAACTGTATTATTTACTGTTTGTCTTAACTATGTTGAGCCTGAAATTATTATCCAGCAGATTGCAATAGCTTAAATCCCACTTTTCTATTCAGTAGTACCATATTAAGCTCAGAATTGCAAAAATACTACAAAAAAATTAATATCTAAAAATAAATATAGAATCATATTAAATGATTTTCAAGAAATTTTCTGGTTATTAAAATTATTTTTCATATATACTCACTTAATTAAACCTGGAAGACAATTAGAAACACTGCCCATTTCAAATTTAATGCATTTATCTTCAATTTCCTTTTTAACTTCATCACATTTTCCACTTTTAATTTGAAAATATCTTTTCTTCCATGGTATGAACTATAATGATGAATTGTAAGTTTAATTATTCAACATATAATTAGAAATAAGTTATATTTAACCAGATTTCTTATTATGCATCTGTATACAAATTACATAGCTTGCAATATCAATGATTAAATTTTTTTATTTTCATAAAAAACACAATTTTTAATCAAAAATAAAAAATAATCATTAATATTGTAGTATATGATTTATTTTCACACACAAAAAACAAGATAGAATACAGACACTCCTCAACTTATGATGTTTCAACATACATTTCGCACATACAAGCAATGCAAGTGAAGTGCATACATGGAAAAATAATTAGAATTTGAATTCTAGCTGCTCTATTAATGCATTAATGATCTTTCTTGTGACTTTTTTATATAGATATAAACATCTCAAACCTTGTGTTTTACAGTATACCCATTATGTCTACAAAACACCCCACTGTGTCTCAATGAAAAATTTAATATCTAAGCATGACAGTTATGGCAATTGTTTGTGAGTTTGGGCTAGTGCAGTGTTTTTCAACCGGGGTGCCACGGCGCCACAATTGGGGTGTCGCAAAGTTTAGAGCCTTTAGTCATTTTTTTGGAAATTTACTTAAGTGTAGTTCAAGATAACTCATTGTCAGTTCTACTTTGCTACGAGATATCTAGTAAGCAAAGAAACGATGACTAATCGCATGTTAATGTAATGTTCAACACTACGTGTACGCACGAGTTCGCCCAAACCACATTACTTGGCCTTCACATTCCCAGTCCCAGTACCAGGCCAACCAGCAGAGAAGAACGACATGGACACTTGTGTCTTGTATATACTTTAAAAAGCGTTGCATTGCACTTTGAAAAGCGTGCACAATGTAGATGCATATTACAGTACTTTCATAGTATTCAAAAGCAATGATGACAAATAAGCAATTTATTATCATTTTTTTAATTTAATTTTTTTAAATTGATATGAAAAAAATAAGAAAAAAGTAATGAAATAATTATTTTATATATGCATCAAAATAGTATAAAAAAACTTAACAAAAATTGTTTATCAACAAAATATTAATATAAAATGATGATATATTTGATAATAAAACTAAATTTAAAAAACAATAGAGACTATTATTTTACATGTAGGTATTTCGACAAAATTCAGTGGACTTAAATTTTGATTTTAAACACGTAGAAACGTTGTTTTTTTTGCATTAAAATGCTACTTCAAATTGTCAATTTTTAAAAGTTTTCTTCCCAGGAAGGGACTCCCTCCCCGGACCCCACCCCAGCATTGCGCGTAATATTCGTTTTCGCAAAAAGTTTATCTGGCTCATTAGCCCCCTTATTCAGATCCGCCGCTGGTCAAGGGTGTCACGATTTTTTATTTTTCAATCAGGGGTGCCACTCAATGAAAAAGGTTGAAAAACACTGGGCTAGTGCAATCAATGATAGCCCAAACTCATGTTATGTACTGTACCATATAACTTTGTACATATAGGCTATTTTTTTTTTTTTTAATCTTCATTTTCAATTTACAATGCATTTCTTCAGAACAAAACCCCATCATACGTCAAGGAGAGACTGCATTTTCTTACAAATATATTCAAGAAAATTTTATTATTTACCTTGCTATTACTAATCACTTCATTCCAATGCTTTGAAACTCTTTTACAGATTATTATTAAGTCAATAAAAGGCAACTGACATAATATTAACTCAAATATGTGAGTCGGCAGAAGTTCAAAATAGTTAGTTCCTTCTTCTTCGCACAAATTATCCGTACCTAACATTCCATAAATATCATTAAAATCATCATCGCCATCAACAGGTTCTAAATCACAATCGTTTTTAACATTTAAAGAAAAATTATCCCATAAATCATCATCATCATCATCACAGATTTCAATTGAATGATGATTTTCTCCAGAATTTCCAGTAGTATCAACAACAACGTCGTCGTTGTCACGTTTGGGAACATTCTTCACTGGGCTATGTTCCCGTTCTACTTTCTCAGTAGGCTGAAAATATGATAAGAGAGTGTTTTTTTGTGGAGAAGATCTCGAAGATCTTTTCCTTTTGGCGTCATTAGCTTTAGAAGCGATTTTATTGTAAAATTCTCTACCAGTCATAAAATTGCACGTGTTTTGATTCAAATTAATATTGTTTGTTGTGTCCTGTGTTTTATTCGGTGACATGAAAGTTGTTGCAAATGAACTTTTACGCGTTGACCTTGGATACATTCCCCTATTTGGATCTTTAGACGTCTTAGAAACTGACTGAGGATTCGTCAGGGCAACAGATCCCTCTTCAGACGACGAGAAAGAAGCACAATCGATTAAATCCATGCGTATTCGTTTCCTTTTACGATCCATAATCCGTTTATAATCATTAAATTAAGTCATAAGCGAAAAAAAAAAACATAAATTCACCAAAAACAATTCCTACCCAAAACAGACGATCAAAATTTTAAAAAGCGAAACTGATTCAGCGCCCTCTGATGTGAAAAGCTATTTTTGTTATTTAATAATACTGTACGCTAAGCACGTGCTTGAGAATTTCAGAGAATGAATTTCGCTTATTTTTAAAATTTTAACGTAAATTAATATTAATATTTAATTATTTTAATCAAATTTTTATGTGGAATTTAATACGGAAATTGATGGAAAAAATTTTGTATTTATTATTAATTCGTTAAACACGTGTTTACGAATTTCGGAAGGTAAATTTCACGATTTTAACGCGTTGTTATTTAATATTGAATTTAATAAGAATTTGATGTGTTAAATTATGTTTTATCTGGATAAAGTACTGTATATAAAGTATAAATTCCTAATATTAGAAGAGATTTAATTTAAAAATATATTCTTTCTCCATATTATTTATTATTAAGCTAGATGTTTGGATTAATAAGTTATATCCTTGATAATATTTAAGAATTTGTATTATTTTTGACAATACAAATTCTAGAATTCTACACAAATACTTTATTAACTTTGAATAATTACACTCAAGTATTTTTGAGTGTAAAATGATAAAAATGCTTCTTTTATATATTATTTGTCAATTAATTTGTCCATTTCTCTTTTTTCTTTGATTGTACACACACAATTTACATGCCAATGTCTGCTAAACGTAATTACAAGTTATCTGTATGCTATTGTTATTTTCCTTACACATTTTAATTTTTCTTATATTCCTTTGGATGTCTTCTTCCAAATGAACTACAACTACTATGTAAATATTTGTCAACATATTTTTGAAACTTTCTGATTCTGAGACCTCTCCTTTTATTCTCTTTCTAATCCACTCACTCTCTTTCTTTCTTCAGCCTAGATCCTTTATACCCATAATAATAATAATGTTATGGAATTCAATAAAACAATACTTGACAGGTGTTTTAGTCCTTCACTACTATAAAACAGCATTGAAAAATTTTTTCTGTTGCAATGCCACAAAAAAGTATCACATCTTGTTTTATTTTGTTTTTTAAAACAATATAAGAAAAAATTATTTCATTTTAAAAAGGATTCCAAAACATTTTTAACATATAGGTAAAGATGTGAAAAAATACTTTAAAAAAGGATTTCTGGAAATTCTACATCTGTCTATTCTTATTCCTCTCATTTTTTCCCTGCACCTTTGAAGTCGTTAAAAATTTACCAGCGTACCATTGGGTATAACTCACTATATCCTGGGTGAGGCATATCCAGTGCATATAATTAATGGACCAAATATAAAATAAATAGAAAAGGTCACATTGATATTGATTTCCATTACAGACTTTTGAATAGTGATAAAAAATATCTTGAATTTAAGAAGCATCTCAAATTGAAGATGCACCTTAACTATAAGTGTAGATAAAATTAAAAAATATGTTTTAAATTTGAAATGGTTTCTACAGTACAGGCCTCTCAGCCGAACCTTTTGTCAAAATATAAACATGTTTTTTTTTTTATATATAAAAGTGCTAGTTTGTTAAATTTTCATAATCAAAAATATCATAAAAAATCAATTTAATAATTTTAATATTATTTGTAAATTAATTGTGGTAGCAGTTCTGGTAGATGTTTAGTTATAAGGAAAACTAAAACTTTGAGTTTTGTTTTCAAGGGATCTACGTGGAAAGGCCTGCTGTAATTTATGTGTTTTTGTTTTCTGGAATATTTCATCAAAATATAAACTTTTTTTAAATGTATAGTATTGAATTCCTATAAACTTAGAATGATTGATTAAAATTCAAGCTGTGGAGATTGTCTGTAAGAATTTACATTAACCAATAGTTGATTTTAATTAGTATCAAGCAAGCAGTTTTGGTCTCAAAGAAAGTCTACATCATAAATATAGTAATATTTCACTGCACATAAAATTTTATATTGAAAGAGTTACAGAAAAATGCCTGAGTAATCTTCAAGTATGTATAAAAAGGAAGAAAGATTCTCAAACTTTTATAAAAAAAAAAATAACTATCAAAAAATATGTTTTGAAGAATAGATATTTTTCAACAGCAATTATAGCAATTTTTTGAAGTACAAATTGTTGTATCATTATCAACATGCTTATAGTCATCAACTTCTTTATCACTGTCTAGATCCTCATTTTTTGCACATATTAAATTAATTTGATATTTTAAAAACAAAAATCCTAAATATAAATAAATACAATAAAAGAATATATAATGCGTTGAAATAATACACGTGTTTCCAGATGAAACTTTTTAAACCTAAAAGATGGTGAAAACTTTTTAAATTTCAAACACAAAAGTCACTGTCTGCTTATATTTTGCTGAAAGCAACTTTATTAAAGCAACAATTTGAATTCTGGCAAGTAAGAAGAAGAGACAAAGATATTAACCAATATTACTTGGTACATTATGTATATATTTGGACTAGAAAGAGGTTTGATGGTAGTTGTTAATTGGGTTTTCCTTAAGCACGGTTAAGTTTGCACTAAAGCATAGAATGTTTGTTGGATTATTATATGCCATATATGTATTTAACAGTTTTATTTGGATAATAACCACCCTCAAATAGTAATCATTGAATAGTTGCACATTACTGTTCAAAGGCAGATACTATTACAGGCTTTAGGATGAGATACAAGTTACCATTTCAAGTATTATTTGTTTTAAAAATCAAATTTTTCATAAATAAATATTTAAATATTTTATTTATAATGAACATAAATTAAATAATGTAGAAAGGAAATAATAGCTACTATTGAATAACTGCAGTAAAAGTATGTAGTTTAAAATAGTAGTTGTAGCTATTTCAATAAAACCAATATGCTATATTTTGTAATATGAAAAAGTAATTATACTTGTAGATTTAAAAATTAATTTAATTTTATAGTATAAAATAGTGCAGTTCAAATTTTTAAATATTGATATAATTCTATATTTTTAATTCAGTTAATTAGGAAATAATTTATGATAAATTTTGAAATTTTCAGAATGGCTTTGGTATTTAGTAGTAATGATGACGAAATAATAAAGAAAACAATTTTTTTGAATGAAAATTTGGTCATTTCAAATGACGATATCTATTCTTTCTATGAAATAGATAGATGCATTGACTGGATAAAAAGCAATGCATTCGAAAAGGTAAGATATATAGAAAAAATTTTATTATACTGTTAAAAAACAGATTTTTTTAATATTTGGAATACTTTACATTTTTTGTATATACAGTAGAGCCTCAAAAACTCAGCACTCGATAACCCGGCACTCCGGATAACTCGGCCACACCCTGGCAGGGCAAAAAAATCCTTAGTTAATTCATTTTTATTATAGACAGCTTTATAAAAGTATAAAAGCTCTCATAAGGTATTTTTCTGAGGTCTGTCTTATCAGGTAAATTACTGTACACAGTGTATTCATTAATTTTCATTTTCATGTAGTAAAGGCTCTATGCCTTCATAAAGGACGTACTTTTCCTTTGTTTAAGGGTATTTGGGCAGTTTATTCTCTGTTGTATTTTCAAGCAAACAATACATACAAGTACAGTACAATATTTTCTGAGGAAACACGCATACTTATCCTTTTTTAACCCCATTCCCGATAACCCGGCATTTTCACAAACTCGGCCACCCTTCGGTCCACATTAGGCTGAGTTTTCGAGGCTCTACTGTACTAATTATCTATATAAAATATTCATTATTATATTCAAATGAAGACATATAGTGTTACTTTTCATCACATATTAAACAAGATTAAGTCAAGATTAAACTCACATACAGGGTGAACCAAAAGTAGGTGGACAGTAGGTGGAATAGGGTTTTTTATTAGGGTTATACTATAACAATTGTGTATATTTAACTTGGTTATGGTTATAGTTGAAAAATTACATTAAAGATGCATTTCAAGAAATTAATGCACAAAGATACTTGTCCAAAAATGTTTGTTGAAGCATGAAATGGTGAAATATAGACTTCAAAAATGTGTAAATTGTGATGGACAATGGTTTGAGCACATGTGTTGATAAAATTGTATTGTATTGTATTAGTAAATATAATTGTATATATAGTCTCAAAATTCATATGTATATGTAATCTCAATAAATGTTATCATTTATTGTCCACCTACTTTTGGTTCACCCTTTATATTAAACATATTTAATCAACACAACAAATTAACATTGCATTTAGATTTTATCAATTTCTACAGTTCTTTTAATACAAATCCTATAATCTATCATTATTATTTTATCATAATCATATCCAGCGGCGGCCTTATCCATTGCGAGGCTCTGGGCGGCAGATCTTTGCGAGGCCCTTGTCCTTTGTGCAAAGTATGTGAATTGAAATAGTAGGCACTTATTAATATTAATATATACTGTACTATAAATTAAATTTATTTTATTGTTATAACTAATAGCCAAGGATAAAATAAAAAGTTTTAAATATCAACTTTTTTCTACTTGGTTGTTGCACGAGGCCCCTCCAAAAGCGAGGCTCCGGGCGATTGCCCTGCTCGCCACCCCCTAAGGCCGCCACTGATCATATCAGCAGATCAAAATTAAACACATCATTAGGAAAAATGTATATTAATCTTATTTCATTTTTAAAAAACATTTGTTTTTAGTCCTGAATGCAGTTATTCTGTTAGCAAATTTAACTTTATTAAGCATAAGATTTTGTAATATCTTCGTCTTGGGCTGCAATTTGAAAAAAATTATCTATAAATTCCCATTGTCATTCGCCTGTCTGTCTGTCCTTCCTTAATCTCAAGAATGGAGTTAGATAGATTAAAGTCAAGACATATATATAGAAAGATTAGGGGCAGAAGACCCTAATAATATGACTTTTGGTTTGCATTGAAAGTATATACAAACTTTCAATGCAAACCAAAAGTCATGTTATTTCAATTCAAAAATTTTCCCCTGAAAGGAGTTAGATAGATGACCAGAACTCTATTGCTAACCAGAAAAGTATGATGTACAGGGGCAAAACATTACTAATTTGAGGTAGAGAGTATGTATTTTAAATTAAGTAAATTTAAAAAATATGATTAAAGATTTCAGCCTGGTATCATGACGATGTCACAATAATTTGTATATAAAACCAAAATTAACATTTATTGAATTATATTTATTATATACGTGAGACATATATCTGAACTTAGCAAAAGTTTTAGAAAGGAAGATTATGTTTTAGCCATATATTCCCAATCCCAATCTGTGGAGATTATTAACTAATGACAGGGATAACCTCATTTTATTGGAAATATCTGGAGTTTTATAAGGTTTCTATGTTTATTAACTCTAGTAGTGCATATATGTGTTATATAGGAGCCAAAACCAGAATATTGACCCCCTCATATAGCTCATCAAAGAGATATTACACAAGTGAAGCAAATAACAAGAGTTGAGTATGAAGCTCGAATGGTAATTATGAGCCTATTCAGAATGAAGTGGACATTAGTCTCGTACAGATTCCAGGCTAACATTTATTTGAGAGATATTACACATTTTAAGTTGTAATCCTTGTAATTATCCAATGATAACTCTCCCAGAGCATTGGACCATGCTTGTTATGTCATTAAAATAATTTTGTTGCCACTAGTTTGAAATTTATGCAATTTTTGTATTTATCTCTTTATTGTGTTTATTTTATTTTATATATGTTATTGTTTTTAATTTTATTTTAAAAGTTTTTATTTTTAATTCGTTTTTGTTATTTAGCATTAAACAATTATTCACAGTATATATGATTAAAAGTGTGTTTTTGAGTTAAATTTGTTGTTAACACCAAAGACAGTTTGTCTTATAATTAATGTGATAATTGTTTATCATTATTTTTGATAATAGACAGATAGAACTTTTATCATTTTCTTGTATTTCATTGTATGTGATGAAATTATATAAAGACCAATAATATCTTTAGAAAATAACAACAAAGTAGGAAAAGACAGCTTAATTAAATTGAAGTCTTTTATATTTGCTCTTACAAAAAATAAAAAGATTGTTATTATTTTAAGATTATTTTCAAACATTTTATCCAAAACATATCAACAGCATAAACAGTTTTGAAACAATATATTAAGCACATAGTTTATTTTGTCAACTAATTGCTATATATATATTGATGAAATAAAACAGGACAATATATCTGTATTTTGAAACTATGCTGTTAATATAATTGATCTAATTTTGATTTTTCCACAATGAGGCATTAAGAATGCCTTATAATCATATCTATCATGGATTTGTCCAGGCCCACAATGGGAAGTGGCTGGTGAAGGATGATGACTGACATCTGGAACAGATCATCCAAATAAAATTCCTGAGATTTTGACTTTGATGCAAATTTGGGTCTCCTAGAATAGATCTGATTCTTTTACATCAACCATCTGTCATTAATATTTTGACAGAATAAATCTGAAAATATACTTCTTACTGTACATGTTGTACTATGAGATCCAATAAAGGTCTGGAGTCTGTTTTATACATGAACAACTATATTTAAAATATTAAATTAAATTATTAAATTACAGATGATGTTTTACTTTACAAACAAAACTCTTAATAATTAAAATGTTTTAATTACTTGGAAAATTTTTTTATAATTTAATTTGCAATGGCTATTTATTATAAGACAGAATATATAAACTTTTTATCTTACATGAATATCATTTCTTTATAATTTTATTGTTTTTTATAAGAATTCAAGTTACACAAAGCATAATATAGTTTCCAAATAAAAAGCATTAAAGTAATTGTACAAAATAGCTTTTCTTGTATAAACTATATATGTAAAAGTTAAAATTAATAAATAGAAGAAAAAATATTTAACCTGCTGATGATAACTACAACCAACAGACTGCCGAAAATCTATCGGGCTAGTTTTATGCTACTTATTAGATAAATTACGTAATCAATTTGGTACTAGAGGTAAGCGTTAGGCGCCATCTCTTATTAATATTAATAATTATAAATAATTTTAATTAATTTAAATAATTTGGAACCGCTGGGAGAAAAAATCGGCCCGGAGCGGGACTCGAACCCACAACTCCTGCTTACCGTGCAGATGCGTTGCCAGTTACGCTACCCGGACCTCCGATCCGATCTCCTCTTCCAGCGTATATAATCTAACTACTTAACCATCGNCAGCGGTTCCAAATTATTTAAATTAATTAAAATTATTTATAATTATTAATATTAATAAGAGATGGCGCCTAACGCTTACCTCTAGTACCAAATTGATTACGTAATTTATCTAATAAGTAGCATAAAACTAGCCCGATAGATTTTCGGCAGTCTGTTGGTTGTAGCTATAATTATATATCGGGTTGGAGATGTTTGCTGATGATAACTAAAGTTATTAAAAACTTTTGTTTCTTATTAAATAATTTTTTGTTTTTTTCATTTTTCTTTCACATTGTTATCCAGTTTCTGTGTTATTTATTTGTTTACATCAATAAATAACACACAAATTTTTCCAAAAACAAATGTTTTTGACAATTTTTAAATCATTGAAAATGTTTGTTTTTTTACTATTTCCAATAAGTATAATTTGTTCTGATTTCTGGCATATTTACATTCATTGGATGTAATCTCCTAGCAAATGAACACCCACACTGCTGTAAATAATTGGCATATTTCATTGATTATTATTTCCAAATTATAGCCTAATTATTTACAGCAGTATGGATATTCATTTGCTAAGCATTGAGTTTCTGTTGGTATTTATATTTATATAATCTATTAGATTACATAATTATTATAAACTTCTTTTCTGTTTTTATTGGTGTATTCAAAGATAAATTTCCATTTATTTTTAGTAGAATTTAAATATTTTAAAAATTATAAAGAATTATATTTTTTATAATTTTTATCTTATAGGTAGCTCTTCAATTTCCAGATGAGATGCTGAAAGATTCATGCCAAATTTCTCTAGCTCTTCAGAATAATACTGAAAGTAACATATATATTTTAGCTGATACCTCATATGGAAGGTTATTTACTATAATTTTATCACTTAAAATATAATGTTTGAAATATAAATTTAAAAAAATATATATTTAATGTTTCAGTTGTTGTGTAGATGAAGTAGCAGCAGAACATGTTTCAGCAGATGCTCTTATTCATTTTGGACATAGCTGTCTGAGTTCTACAGATCGTCTTCCTGTTTTATATATATTTTGTAATATGCCTTTTGATATTCCCAATGCTAAAGAAGAATTTCAGAGATTGATTCCTGACTTAAATAGTTTTGTTGTATTGTTATATGATACATCATATGCATATGTAATCAGTAAGTAATGATTGTGTTCAGTTCAATTATGAAATTAAATGAAATTTTCAATTAAACAGTCTAAGAAAATAAATGCAAGTAATTTATAATAAATTTTGGATATTTTAAATAGAGGCTAAATTATAGATAAATTGCATAGAATAATTAGAATACTGTATTTTCGTAAATGTAGTTTAAGTTATTTAATGATAAAAAGTTAATGTAATCTATATTTAGTTAACATTCAAATTATATTTAATTATATATATTATATATTAAATATAAACATTTAGTTTATGAACTTTCATAATACAAGTAATGCAATTTATGATAACATATAATACATATTATTTTATTTTTATATTGTTTCCTTTCTGTTTCACTTATGCTAACTCATCATAATTCAATGATGAATTAGCATATGAGATCATCTGTATTAATTTGTTCTAAAAAATGAATACAGTGGTACCTCAGGATACGAAATTAATTCGATCCGAAACTGAGATCGTATCATGAAAATGTCGTAAGGTGAATCATTTTTTTCCATACGATTACATGTAAAACCAAATAACTTGTTCCAACATGAAAAACACACTCAAATTAAAGCTAAGTAGTACATTAAAAAAATAACTATAGTAAGGAAAATACTGAAAAGTGCATTTTGTAGTTGTAAATGTATAAATAACCATAATAGAATAATAATTGATAAAAAAAATGTAGTTTTATTTGCACTTTACCTTTGAGGATAGACAACGGTGGAGGCATAACCTCGTGGTGGAAAAGAGGGAGAAGGGAAATGATACAAAAACTTAACGTACATAAAATAATGTAACAATAACTTAAAAATAACTTACAAAAGATAAAAAAATTAGTGTTGTTTTATATATATATTTTTTAATTTTTATTCACTGCTTTTTGCTTTCTTTCCTTCACTTCCACCAGCACTTTCACTGGATAGAGGTC